AGACCATGAGGTGATTGATGCTGACACACTGACAGTAGACCATGTGGTGATTGATGCTGACTCACTGACAGTAGACCATGAGGTGATTGATGCTGACACACTGACAGTAGACCATGTGGTGATTGATGCTGACACACTGACAGTAGACCATGTGGTGATTGATGCTGACTCTCTGACAGTAGACCATGTGGTGATTGATGCTGACTCTCTGACAGTAGACCATGTGGTGATTGATGCTGACACACTGACAGTAGACCATGTGGTGATTGATGCTGACTCACTGACAGTAGACCATGAGGTGATTGATGCTGACACACTGACAGTAGACCATGTGGTGATTGATGCTGACACACTGACAGTAGACCATGTGGTGATTGATGCTGACTCTCTGACAGTAGACCATGTGGTGATTGATGCTGACATCCCTGACGTAGACCATGTGGGTGATTGATGCTGACACACTGACAGTAGACCATGTGGTGATTGATGCTGACTCACTGACAGTAGACCATGAGGTGATTGATGCTGACACAATGACAGTAGACCATGTGGTGATTGATGCTGACACAATGACAGTAGACCATGTGGTGATTGATGCTGACTCTCTGACAGTAGACCATGTGGTGATTGATGCTGACTCTCTGACAGTAGACCATGTGGTGATTGATGCTGACACACTGACAGTAGACCATGAGGTGATTGATGCTGACACACTGACAGTAGACCATGTGGTGATTGATACTGACTACATGACAGTAGACCATGTGGTGATTGATGCAGACTCACTGGACAGTAGACCATGTGGTGATTGATGCTGACTCTCTGACAGTAGACCATGTGGTGGAAGTGATGCTGACGTCTCTGACAGTGACGGACCATGTGGTGATTGATGCTGACCTCATGACAGTAGACCATGTGGTGATTGATGCGGACTCTCTGACAGTAGACCATGTGGTGATTGATGCTGACTCTGACAGTAGACCATGTGGTGATTGATGCTGACTCACTGACAGTAGACCATGTGGTGATTGATGCTGACTCAATGACAGTAGACCGTGTGGTGATTGATGCTGACACAATGACAGTAGACCATGTGGTGATTGATGCTGCACTCTCTGACAGTAGACCATGTGGTGATTGATGCTGACTCTCTGACAGTAGACGCATGTGGTGATTGATGCTGACTCTGACAGTAGACCATGTGGTGATTGATGCTGACTCTCTGACAGTAGACCATGTGGTGATTGATGCTGACTCTCTGACAGTAGACCATGTGGTGATTGATGCTGACTCTCTGACAGTAGACCATGTGGTGATTGATGCTGACTCTCTGACAGTAGACCATGTGGTGATTGATGCTGACTCTCTGACAGTAGACCATGTGGTGATTGATGCTGACTCAATGACAGTAGACCGTGTGGTGATTGATGCTGACTCAATGACAGTAGACCGTGTGGTGATTGATGCTGACACAATGACAGTAGACCATGTGGTGATTGATGCTGACTCTCTGACAGTAGACCATGTGGTGATTGATGCTGACTCTCTGACAGTAGACCATGTGGTGATTGATGCTGACACACTGACAGTAGACCATGAGGTGATTGATGCTGACTCACTGACAGTAGACCATGTGGTGATTGATGCTGACTCTCTGACAGTAGACCATGTGGTGATTGATACTGACTCACTGACAGTAGACCATGTGGTGATTGATGCTGACTCTCTGACAGTAGACCATGTGGTGATTGATGCTGACTCTGTGACAGTAGACCATGTGGTGATTGATGCTGACTCAATGACAGTAGACCGATGTGGTGATTGATGCTGACACAATGACAGTAGACCATGTGGTGATTGATGCTGACTCTCTGACAGTAGACCATGTGGTGATTGATGCTGACACAATGACAGTAGACCATGTGGTGATTGATGCTGACTCTCTGACAGTAGACCATGTGGTGATTGATACTGACTCACTGACAGTAGACCATGTGGTGATTGATGCTGACACACTGACAGTAGACCATGTGGTGATTGATGCTGACTCTCTGACAGTAGACCATGTGGTGATTGATGCTGACTCTCTGACAGTAGACCATGTGGTGATTGATACTGACTCACTGACAGTAGACCATGTGGTGATTGATGCTGACTCTCTGACAGTAGACCATGTGGTGATTGATGCTGACTCACTGACAGTAGACCATGTGGTGATTGATGCTGACTCTCTGACAGTAGACCATGAGGTGATTGATGCTGACTCTCTGACAGTAGACCATGTGGTGATTGATGCTGACTCACTGACAGTAGACCATGTGGTGATTGATGCTGACTCTCTGACAGTAGACCATGTGGTGATTGATGCTGACTCACTGACAGTAGACCATGTGGTGATTGATGCTGACTCTCTGACAGTAGACCATGTGGTCATTGATGCTGACTCTCTGACAGTAGACCGTGTGGTGATTGATGCTGACACAATGACAGTAGACCGTGTGGTGATTGATGCTGACACAATGACAGTAGACCATGTGGTGATTGATGCTGACTCACTGACAGTAGACCATGTGGTGATTGATGCTGACTCTCTGACAGTAGACCTGATGTGATGTTCTGATTGGCTCGTCAGGCAGCTGTGTGGCAGTCGGGTGAGGGTGGAGTTGTCGTCAGGAAGTCCTCGGCGCTCACGGTACGACCGCTCCTCCAGCCGGCGGCCCTTCGACCCGACTGACAAGTGCTACGAGTGTGGAGAGAAGGGCCACTACGCGTACGACTGCCGACGACGCGGCCGCCGCAGCGGGAGGAGCAGGTAACTACACCTGGAAACATAGTGTGTGTGAGAGGGGTGTATGGTGAGGGGAGAGAGGTGTGTGTGAGGTGAAGGTAACGGTACGTCCACACGGCAGCGTTGCGTGCTTCAACGGAGACGCTTCCCATTCACTTTGAATGGGGTGACGTCACGCTTTGCCGAACTGCATTGTGGTCGCTTTGCCGCCGTTGCTCGCTTCAAAAGTTGAGAAAAGTTCAACTGTTCAAGCGACGACGGGAGTGCCAGCCAATCGAATCATATGCCAGTACAAGCTCTAGCCAATCAAACTGCGTGCTTGGTCCTACCGGCAAGCTTCAATGCGACGGAGCTGCGTGGACGTACCGTGAGAGAGGTGTGTGTGAACGGTGAGACAGAGAGAGGTGTGTGAGAGAGTAGTGTGTGAAAGGTGAGAGATGCGGCTTTCATACCAGCGCTTTTCCCTTTCTAGCTCCGAGCGGGAGATTTTCTGGTTCAGCTCCGGTTTCCCTTTTCTGCTCCCGCTCTGTTCATACCGCCCAGAGCTGCCGCTGCTGCGTCATGACGTCACCGTTTACGTGCCTGCTTCATAAAATCCAAACCTCGCGGAAATCCCTCACATCGACAACAACAACAATGGCCGATTGTATTGAAGCGCTGTTCGCTTTGGTTATCCTCTTACGAAACGGAATGGAAGGCATCGGACGACTTTACAAGGGACGACTTTACTTGGAACTTTACAAACATTTACAACATTACTTGATCCCGCCCCTGCCCCCGCCTCGACGTAAGAGAGACGTAAGCGATGGCGCCTCTTAGCTCTTGCCTCTAGACCGACAATTTTTTGGAGCTGGAAGTGAACCAGATTCCGGAGCTAAGAGGCGGCGCCGCTGCGGTGTGAACAGGAAACAACTGTACTTTTCAGCTCCAGCTCCGAGCCGGAGCTAAAAACGCGTTGGTGTGAAAGGGGCAAGAGAGAGTAGTGTGTGTGTGTGTGTGTGTGTTCCTGATGTGTGTGTGTGGTCCTGATGTGTGTGTGTGTGTCTCTGTGGTCCTGATGTGTGTGTGTGTGTGTCTCTGTGGTCCTGATGTGTGTGTGTCTATGTGGTCCTGATGTGTGTGTGTGTCTATGTGGTCCTGATGTGTGTGTGTGTGTCTCTGTGGTCCTGATGTGTGTGTGTGTGTGTCTATGTGGTCCTGATGTGTGTGTGTGTGTCTATGTGGTCCTGATGTGTGTGTGTGTGTCTCTGTGGTCCTGATGTGTGTGTGTGTGTGTCTATGTGGTCCTGATGTGTGTGTGTGTGTGTGTGTGGTCCTGATGGTCTCTGGTCTCCTGCAGGTCCAGGTCTCGCTCCAGGTCTCGAGGAAGGCGTCACTCCAGGAGCAGGAGCCGAGGAGGGAGGAGGTGAGTCAGAGCCTCGCTGTGTGTTCACTAGGGGTTAAACGGGATTCGTACTGAGAATATTCGGTACAGGCCCTACGGGAGGGCCGAGCCAAAGCTGTTTGTCGGCATTGTTCAACTAACATTGGTTACGCGGCTGGCAATACATCAAACGTGCACTCAATTGAAAAGGCATCACCCGAACGTGAATATCACCGGTACCAAAAGACTGAAGTGCAAACCCAACTCCCGCTAGCATGTAAGCCTCCACCACTCGCAGAGAGTTCAGACCGAGCCAAAGCTATTACAAACGCCAAGTATCCTCATGCTGCCATGTTAGCAAAGCGCTACCTGGCTGTATCTGCTACCTCTGTCTCTAGAGAGGGTGTTCTCCACAGAGACATTGTTAGAGCCAGCAGATCTGCTACCTCTGTCTCTAGAGAGGGTGTTCTCCACAGAGACATTGTTAGAGCCAGCAGATCTGCTACCTCTGTCTCTAGAGAGGGTGTTCTCCACAGAGACATTGTTAGAGCCAGCAGATCTGCTACCTCTGTCTCTAGAGAGGGTGTTCTCCACAGAGACATTGTTAGAGCCAGCAGATCTGCTACCTCTGTCTCTAGAGAGGGTGTTCTCCACAGAGACATTGTTAGAGCCAGCAGATCTGCTACCTCTGTCTCTAGAGAGGGTGTTCTCCACAGAGACATTGTTAGAGCCAGCAGATCTGCTACCTCTGTCTCTAGAGAGGGTGTTCTCCACAGAGACATTGTTAGAGCCAGCAGATCTGCTACCTCTGTCTCTAGAGAGGGTGTTCTCCACAGAGACATTGTTAGAGCCAGCAGATCTGCTACCTCTGTCCCTAGAGAGGGTGTTCTCCACAGAGACTTTGTTAGAGCCAGCAGATCTGCTACCTCTGTCTCTAGAGAGGGTGTTCTCCACAGAGACATTGTTAGAGCCAGCAGATCTGCTACCTCTGTCCCTAGAGAGGGTGTTCTCCACAGAGACATTGTTAGAGCCAGCAGATCTGCTACCTCTGTCTCTAGAGAGGGTGTTCTCCACAGAGACATTGTTAGAGCCAGCAGATCTGCTACCTCTGTCTCTAGAGAGGGTGTTCTCCACAGAGACATTGTTAGAGCCAGCAGATCTGCTACCTCTGTCTCTAGAGAGGGTGTTCTCCACAGAGACATTGTTAGAGCCAGCAGATCTGCTACCTCTGTCTCTAGAGAGGGTGTTCTCCACAGAGACATTGTTAGAGCCAGCAGATCTGCTACCTCTGTCTCTAGAGAGGGTGTTCTCCACAGAGACATTGTTAGAGCCAGCAGATCTGCTACCCTCTGTCCCTAGAGAGGGTGTTCTCCACAGAGACATTGTTAGAGCCAGCAGATCTGCTACCCTCTGTCTCTAGAGAGGGTGTTCTCCACAGAGACATTGTTAGAGCCAGCAGATCTGCTACCTCTGTCTCTAGAGAGGGTGTTCTCCACAGAGACATTGTTAGAGCCAGCAGATCTACCTCTGTCTCTAGAGAGGGTGTTCTCCACAGAGACATTGTTAGAGCCAGCAGATCTGCTACCTCTGTCCCTAGAGAGGGTGTTCTCCATTGAGACATTGTTAGAGCCAGCAGATCTGCTACCTCTGTCCCTAGAGAGGGTGTTCTCCACAGAGACATTGTTAGAGCCAGCAGATCTGCTACCACTGTCCCTAGAGAGGGTGTTCTCCACAGAGACATTGTTAGAGCCAGCAGATCTGCTACCTCTGTCTCTAGAGAGGGTGTTCTCCACAGAGACATTGTTAGAGCCAGCAGATCTGCTACCTCTGTCCCTAGAGAGGGTGTTCTCCACAGAGACATTGTTAGAGCCAGCAGATCTGCTACCTCTGTCTCTAGAGAGGGTGTTCTCCACAGAGACATTGTTAGAACCAGCAGATCTGCTGCCTCTGTCTCTAGAGAGGGTGTTCTCCACAGAGACATTGTTAGAGCCAGCAGATCTGCTACCTCTGTCCCTAGAGAGGGTGTTCTCCACAGAGACATTGTTAGAGCCAGCAGATCTGCTACCTCTGTCTCTAGAGAGGGTGTTCTCCACAGAGACATTGTTAGAGCCAGCAGATCTGCTACCTCTGTCTCTAGAGAGGGTGTTCTCCACAGAGACATTGTTAGAGCCAGCAGATCTGCTACCTCTGTCTCTAGAGAGGGTGTTCTCCACAGAGACATTGTTAGAGCCAGCAGATCTGCTACCTCTGTCTCTAGAGAGGGTGTTCTCCATAGAGACATTGTTAGAGCCAGCAGATCTGCTACCTCTGTCTCTAGAGAGGGTGTTCTCCACAGAGACTTTGTTAGAGCCAGCAGATCTGCTACCTCTGTCTCTAGAGAGGGTGTTCTCCACAGAGACATTGTTAGAGCCAGCAGATCTGCTACCTCTGTCTCTAGAGAGGGTGTTCTCCACAGAGACATTGTTAGAGCCAGCAGATCTGCTACCTCTGTCTCTAGAGAGGGTGTTCTCCATAGAGACATTGTTAGTGCCAGCAGATCTGCTACCTCTGTCCCTAGAGAGGGTGTTCTCCACAGAGACATTGTTAGAGCCAGCAGATCTGCTACCTCTCTCTCTAGAGAGGGTGTTCTCCACAGAGACATTGTTAGAGCCAGCAGATCTGCTACCTCTGTCTCTAGAGAGGGTGTTCTCCACAGAGACATTGTTAGAGCCAGCAGATCTGCTACCTCTGTCTCTAGAGAGGGTGTTCTCCACAGAGACATTGTTAGAGCCAGCAGATCTGCTACCCTCTGTCTCTAGAGAGGGTGTTTCTCCACAGAGACATTGTTAGAGCCAGCAGATCTGCTACCTCTGTCTCTAGAGAGGGTGTTCTCCACAGAGACATTGTTAGAGCCAGCAGATCTGCTACCTCTGTCTCTAGAGAGGGTGTTCTCCATAGAGACATTGTTTAGTGCCAGCAGATCTGCTACCTCTGTCCCTAGAGAGGGTGTTCTCCACAGAGACATTGTTAGAGCCAGCAGATCTGCTACCTCTCTCTCTAGAGAGGGTGTTCTCCACAGAGACTTGTTAGAGCCAGCAGATCTGCTACCTCTGTCTCTAGAGAGGGTGTTCTCCACAGAGACTTGTTAGAGCCAGCAGATCTGCTACCTCTGTCTCTAGAGAGGGTGTTCTCCTCCACAGAGACATTGTTAGAGCCGCAGATCTGCTACCTCTGTCCCTAGAGAGGGTGTTCTCCACAGAGAACATTGTTAGAGCCAGCAGATCTGCTACCTCTGTCCCTAGAGAGGGTGTTCTCCACAGAGACATTGTTAGAGCCAGCAGATCTGCTACCTCTGTCTCTAGAGAGGGTGTTCTCCACAGAGACATTGTTTAGAGCCAGCAGATCTGCTACCTCTGTCTCTAGAGAGGGTGTTCTCCACAGAGACATTGTTAGAGCCAGCAGATCTGCTACCTCTGTCCTCTAGAGAGGGTGTTCTCCACAGAGACATTGTTAGAGCCAGCAGATCTGCTACCTCTGTCTCTAGAGAGGGTGTTCTCCACAGAGACATTGTAGAGCCCAGCAGATCTGCTACCGCTTTCCCTAGAGAGGGTGTTCTCCACAGAGACATTGTTAGTAGCCAGCAGATCTGCTACCATCTGTCCTCTAGAGAGGGTGTTATCCATAGAGACATTGTTAGAGCCAGCAGATCTGCTACCTCTGTCTCTAGAGAGGGTGTTCTCCACAGAGACATTGTTAGAGCAGCAGATCTGCTACCTCTGTCTCTAGAGAGGGTGTTCTCCACAGAGACATTGTTAGAGCCAGCAGATCTCTGCTACCTCTGTCTCTAGAGAGGGTGTTCTCCATAGAGACATTGTTAGTGCCAGCACAGATCTGCTACCTCTGTCCCTAGAGAGGGTGTTCTCCACAGAGACATTGTTAGAGCCAGCAGATCTGCTACCCTCTGTCTCTAGAGAGGGTGTTCTCCACAGAGACATTGTTAGAGCCAGCATATCTGCTACCCCTCTCTCTCTAGAGAGGGTGTTCTCCACAGAGACATTGTTTAGAGCCAGCATATCTACTACCTCTCTCTCTAGAGAGGGGTGTTCTCCACAGAGACATTGTTAGAGCAGCAGATCTGCTAACCTCTGTCTCTAGAGAGGGTGTTCTCCACAGAGACATTGTTAGAGCCAGCAGATCTGCTACCTCTGTCTCTAGAGAGGGTGTTCTCCACAGAGACATTGTTAGAGCCAGCAGATCTGCTACCTCTGTCTCTAGAGAGGGGGTGTTCTCCACAGAGAAATTGTTAGAGCCAGCAGATCTGCTACCCTCTGGTCCCTAGAGAGGGTGATTACATCCACAGAAGACATGGTTCGAGCCACAGCAGATCTGCTACCCAGTCTGTCTCGTAGAGAGGGGGTGGTTCTTCCAAAGAGCCCATTGTTAGAGCCAAGCGAGGATACTGCTACCAATCTGTCTCTAAGAGAGGTGTTCCTCCGGCACAGAGACATTGTTAGTGCCAGCAGAATCTGCTACCTCTGTCCTCTAGAGAGGGTGTTCTCCACAGAGACATTGTTAGAGCCAGCAGATCTGCTACCATCTGTCCTCTAGAGAGGGTGTTCTCCACAGAGACATTGTTAGAGCCCAGCAGATCTGCTACCTCTCGTCTCTAGAGAGGGTGTTCTCCACAAGACATTGTTAGAGCCAGCAGATCTGCTACCCATCTCGTCTCTAGAGATGGTGTGTTCTCCACAGAGACATTGTTAGAGCCAGCAGATCTGCTACCTCTCCTCTAGAGAGGGGTGTTCTCCACAGAGACATTGTTAGAGCAGCAGATCTGCTACCTCTGTCTCTAGAGAGGGTGTTTCTCCACAGAGGACATTGTTAGAGCCAGCAGATCTGCTACCTCTGTCTCTAGAGAGGGTGTTCTCCACAGAGACATTGTTAGAGCCAGCAGATCTGCTACCTCTGTCTCTAGAGAGGGTGTTCTCCACAGAGACATTGTTAGAGCCAGCAGATCTGCTACTCTGTCCCTAGAGAGGGTTTTTCTCCACAGAGACTGTTAAGCCAGCAGAATCTGCTACCTATGTCTATAGAGAGGGTGTTCTCCACAGAGACATTGTTAGAGCCAGCAGATCTGCTACCTCTGTCTCTAGAGAGGGGTTCTCCACAGAGACATTGTTAGTGCCAGCAGATCTGCTACCTCTGTCTCTAGAGAGGGGTGTTCTCCACAGAGACATTGTTAGAGCCAGCAGATCTGCTACCTCTGTCTCTAGAGAGGGTGTTCTCCACAGAGACATTGTTAGAGCCAGCAGATCTGCTACCTCTGTCTCTAGAGAGGGTGTTCTCCACAGAGACATTGTTAGAGCCAGCAGATCGGCCCTTTCAGCAAGCAATGTGGACAAGTTCATCTTTCTTTAGAACAACATGAAAATACAATGACAAGCAAGTCCTAATGTCAAGCTGGGTGCTCAGGAACAGTTCAGTTCAGATACAGATCATTTCAGTTCATCGACATGCTGCACCTTAATGTTTATTTTATTATATTTTGTATTTATTTGAGTGAATATTCACAGTTTAATAATAATTTTAAAAAAAACAAATATTTTATGTTATGTGATAATTTTTTCTGCTGTACCGAAAACGTACCGAACCGTGACCTAAAAACCGAGGTACGTGCCGAACCAAAATGTTTGTGAACCGTTACACCCCTAGTGTTCAGCCAATCACCTGCTGCCTACAGCTGCCTTCAAAATAAAAACATCAAAAACTACTTTCATTAACAACAACAAAAAATACACTAAATAAAGTCTCAAACATGGTGTGATGGAGAGACACCATCACACCTGTCCTTGTCTCACCTTTAATCACCTGTCCTTAGGCGCTTTCACACCGGAGTACTTTTCCCAGGAATAGTTCCGATAGTTCTTGGGATTTTGCGTTCACACCAAAAAGATCTGGAACTAGAACCTAGTTTCACGCCCTGCTAGAGAATAGGTACTTCAATGGGGAGAAAAAGGTTCCCAGTTCTGATTGGCTGGGCAAATTGCAAACCACGCCCCGTAAAACTGAAGAGTTTTGTGAAGCCGCCATTTTATTATCCTCGCATTAGCATTATTAGCATTAGCATTCACCCAGCGCACCAACGCAGAGAGACTAACTCATGGCAACACAAAATAAAACATGGGAGCGGTGGAGATGAGGAGGTGTCGGCGTTCTGGCGATTTACTCGGAAGGCTTCAGTAGAAGCTGCTGGGAGTCCCAGCAGCTTCTACTGAAGCCAGTCCCCAACTCCGGGGACTTCCGGCCGGAGACTCCGGGTGGCAGTGTACGCCGTGAAGTGGTTTGCGGCCTGCCAGTAAACCCAAAGCAGAAGAAGAAGAAGAAGTGACGTCAGCGGCTCATTTGCGTAATCTTCCCTCAGGGACTTATTCCGGTGTGAACGCGATCTGCTAGATCAGAGGTCTTCAACTGGGGGTCCGCGACCCCAAGTTGAAGACCTCTGATCTAGATAGTTCCAGGGACTAAAGAGTTCGGCGGTGTGAAAGCACCTCTTGACCTGTAACTCACCTGTCCTTGACTCACCTGTCCTCTGCCTCCTGTCTCAGGTCCGTCTCCCCACGAGGCTCTCGCTCCGCCTCCCCCAGAAGGTCCAGATCCAACACAGCGCCACAGAGAGCCAGGTGAGTCCACTTCCTGTCCCTGACCCCTCAGGATCCAGAACCACAGGGGCCTCATCATCTGTTTCTCTGTTTCTCTCTCAGACCCAGGTCCAGGTCTCCCTCCAGGTCTAGAGCCAGACCCAGGTCCAGGTCCAGGTCTAGGTCAAAGTCCAGGTCCAGGTCTAAGTCGCAGTCAGGTTCCAGACCACGAGCCAGACCCAGATCCAGGTCCGCGTCCCGAGGCCCGAGCAGGTAACCTCTCACAATAAGAGACATAAGAGGTTTCTCAATTCTTAAATGTCCCCTCCTCGACTCCCCTTCCTCGACTCCCCTCCTCGACTCCTATCCTAGCCCACAGGAGAAGCAAGCAGAGGACTGAGGAGGCGAACCGAGGAGAGAGGAGGGGAGCCAAGGAGAGAGGAGTCGAGGAGGAGAGAGGAGGGGAACCGAGGAGGGGAACCGAGGAGAGAGAGGAGTCGAGTAGGAGAGAGGAGGGGAACCGAGGAGGGGAACCGAGGAGAGAGGAGTCGAGGAGGGGAGCCGAGGAGAGAGGAGGGGAAGCGAGGAGAGAGGAGGGGAGCCGAGGGGAAGCGAGGAGGGGAACCGAGGAGAGAGGAGTCGAGGAGGGGAGCCGAGGAGAGAGGAGGGGAAGCGAGGAGAGAGGAGGAGAGAGGAGGAGAGAGGAGTCGAGGAGGGGAGTCGAGGAGAGAGGAGGGGAAGCAAGGCGAGAGGAGGGGAACCGAGGAGAGAGGAGTCGAGGAGGGGAACCGAGGAGAGAGGAGTCGAGGAGGGGAACCGAGGAGAGAGGAGTCGAGGAGGGGAACCGAGGAGAGAGGAGGGGAAGCAGCAGGCGGTTAGAGAAAGGAGAACTCCTCTCCTCTGAGCGGTCATTTTAAAGAGACGTCCATTAATGATGACAGGAGGCAGCAGCCCTCTGTCTGATGGACAGATGTGTTCATGACCACTTCTATATTTACTTCAGGGTGTCCGCGGGGTCTTAACCTCTTAAGCCCCAAGCCTGTTTTCCAGGTTTCAGGCTCAAAAATGCTATGCCCAAAACAAAGGACTATAACTTAACTTCTAAAAGGGTTATATGAATAATTTCTTTTATCAAAGCAAGGTCACATCTGTGAGTTGGATGTAGAAGTGTCAGAATCAATAAAGATGTTTCAGTGTCAGAGTAAATCCAGATGGAACATAGTCAAAAAGTGTCAATTTTTGTCTCCGCCCAAATAAAACCCATTGCTTATAGTGATAACCACCCTTGAATGATGGGTTAGTTGCCTAAAAGCTTTAGGAATCCAACGTATAACATATAATAAGTACCCTGTATCAAGATTGAGGCAAAACAAGTGAGAATTGACCTTTTTAGAGAGATTTTGCAAAAAAAAGTCAAAGCGGACTAAGCTTTGGGCACATTTGGGTACATTTGGTTCCATCAGTGCCATTTAACCTTTTTCAGGTACCAGACTGTAAAAATCATTGTACAACATTTAATTATCACTATAGGTATTCATTCCATAAAAAAAAAAAAAAATTGTAAAAAAATAATAATAATTAAGTGTGTGTGTGGGTGGAGTGTGTGTGTGTGGGTGCGTGTGTGTGTGTGGAGTGTGTGGGAAGTTCCCTCTTTGCATGAGATGCATGTTACTTGCACAATAAAAATGAGGAAACTTAGGAAACATTTGACTCCAACTGGAGCAGATTTATTAAAAAAAATTAGCAACACACTATACAACAAGCATTTTTTGGGTAAAAAAAAATAACTTTATACAAACCCTGAATGTTACAGTATTACTCCAGTAAGTCATGCCATGCCCTGTAACAGTTATTTTTGGTAGTGAAGCACAGAGGGACCTGACACTTCCTGCAGTGTCTTCACCCTTCTGTTGCCAGCATCAGAGCACCTCCTGCAGTACCTCCTGACCTTGGTGGCATCTTCCCCATAATACTCGGGTTTATCTGCTGGTGGACGACCTGAGAGATCTACAGCAGGAGAACACGCCGTCCACCGCGGAGAATAAACAGAAGGGCCACCATGACAACCATGCTCTGGGGTCTTCTTCGCTGCTTTTGGTGTATTTGGTGGCGGCGGCAGCAGCGCCACTTACAGGCCTGGCATATGTACTACAGCGTTTCCAGCATTTCCATCGGTCTAGTGTGAACGGACACGTTAATGAATCGAATGCGTGTGAACGGAAGACTTTTTTGCGTTTGCGTATGCGTTTTACTGTATGCGTCCTCGTGGGGCCGGGGTCTAAGCCAAACTATATCCGGTCACAGAGATCTGCTATTTTAAAGTGAGGTCAACACATATTGACCCTAAATATAGTCTATATTAAGAACGAGAAAAGTCTTAACATATATATCGTTTTTTGTAGACAAATGTGTGAGGGTGATGAGGTCAGAGCATCGTCCTATGTGCCGGGCTTAGCCCCGGACAGCCCCAGCCCAATTGAACCCCTGGGTATTTGTGAGGGAGCTCCTATATGGCATTACCCCGCTGAAGCTCACCAAAGTTTCATATATTTCATAGTTCAAAGTTTTGTCAATTGTTTTGTTTATTGGTCAAATCCTGGTTTCTAATGGTTTCTGAGGAGTTCTACTGGAATGAAAGAGCACAGAGTACAGAAGCAACAAAGCAGCATCCTGCATTAACCCTGACCTTCACAGAGAGGTTGAAGTTCATGTGGAGAGGAGGCTTCAGTCGTCTGTCTGCACTCTGTTTAGTTGTGCTATCTTACAATCAATATAGTCAATGTGAGGTAAAGTGTGTCGCCAAGGTAACCGGTTAGAACTCTTAGTTGCGATGAGGTCTTAAAATGTATGGAAAGGGTCTTAAAAAAGGTCTTAAAAGGTCTTACATTTGACTTCAGGATTCCTGCATCAATCAATCAATGTTTATTTATATAGCCCAATATCACAAATGTTACATTTGTCTCAGTGGACTTTACAGTTTGTACAAAATATCAGTATGACAATATGACACCCTCTGTCCTTAGACCCTCTGTCCTTAGACCCTCTGTCCTTAGACCCTCTGTCCTCAGACCCTCTGTCCTCAGACCCTCTGTCCTCAGACCCTCTGTCCTCAGACCCTCTGTCCTTAGACCCTATGTCCTTAGACCCTATGTCCTTAGACCCTCACATCGTACAAGGAAACACTTCCGAAGAAAACCCACAGTTTAAAGGGAACATGGGAGAAACCTCAGGGAGAGCAACAGAGGAGGGATCCCTCTCCCAGGACGGACAGACGTGCAATAGATGCCGTCTGTAAATTGAAAAGATAATACATTTGCAACATAGGTAGTCCAAATGTTTGGAAATGCATGTGTGTATAATAGGAAAATGAATCCACGAGGATATCCATCCAGGACCTATGATCCAGGACCACAGCCACGACTCAAGATCCAGGGCTCGCGATGCAGGACAGAGGAGCGCAGGATCATCCATGACTCCGGATCCCGGCGTATACAGACACCAAAAAGAAAGAAATTTGGGGAAGCTGGGTTAATGGGAACATGAGAGTACACAGGTATAGACAGAGAGAAGGAAGAAGTAAGATGTCCCCTGACAAACTAAGCCTATATCAGCAAAACTAGGGGCTGAATCTAATCAGCCCTAACTATAAGCTTTATCAAAAAGGAAGGTCTTAAGCGCACTCTTAAAAACGGATAGGGTGTCTGCCGCCCGAACACAAACTGAAAGCTGATTCCACAAATGTGGAGCTTGATAAGAAAAGGCTCTGGCTCCCATTGTACTTTTAGAGACTCTAGGAACAACCAACAACCCTGCATTCTTGGAACGCAATGCCCTAGTAGGACAGTAGGGTATAATGAGTTCTTTAAGGTAAGATGGCGCCTGCCCATTAAGGGCTTTGTAGGCGAGAAGAAGAATTTTAAATTCTATCCTGTGTTCTATAGGGAGCCAGTGTAAGGCAGCCAGAACAGGAGTAATGTGGTCCCTTTTCCTAACTCTGGTTAGTACATGAGCCGCAGCATTTTGAATCAGCTGAAGCCACTTGACTGACTTCTTGGTACACCCTGATAATAAAGAGTTACAATAATCCAGCCTTGAAGTAACAAATGCATGGACTAGTTTCTCTGCATCGTTTTGAGGCAAGATATGCCTGATTTTTGCAATGTTACGTAGATGGAAGTAGGCGGTCCTTGAAATTGATTTTATGTGGGCGTTAAAGGATAAATCCTGATCAAATATAACACCAAGATTCCTTACAGTCTCACTGGAGGCCAAATTAATGCCATCCATAGTTAGTATATCCTTAGATAATTTGTTTCATAGATTCTTCGGGCCAAGTACAATAACTTCAGTTTTGGTCGTGTTTAACATCAACAAGTTTAAGGTCATCCACGTTTTTAAGTCCTTGAGGCAGTCTTGAATTGTATTTAGGTGATTGATTTAATCAGGCTTGATGGATAAATATAATTGAGTATCATCCGCATAACAATGAAAGTTTACAGAATGATTCCTTATAATATTGCCTAACGGAAGCATATATAATGTGAACAAAATAGGTCCGAGCACTGAGCCCTGTGGCACTCCATGGCTAACTTTGGTTTGCGTGGAAGATTCATCATTGACACGTACAAACTGAGAGCGTTCAGATAGATAGGACCTAAACCAGCCTAAAGCAGTTCCCTGTATGCCAACTAAGTGCTCTAGTCTTTGCAATAAGATATCATGATCGATAGTATCAAATGCAGCACTGAGATCGAGCAAAACAAGAATAGAGACACGTCCCTTGTCAGAGGCTATTAGAATGTCATTTGTGACTTTAACCAGAGCTGTCTCTGTGCTATGATGTGTTCTAACGCCAGACTGAAAATCTTCAAATAAATCATTGTTTGTTAAGTAATCACACAACTGTTTTGCGACCGCTTTCTCAAGAACTTTTGAGAGGAACGGAAGATTAGAAATAGGTCTATAGTTGGCTAAAACCTCTGGATCGAAGTTGTGCTTTTTAAGAAGCGGTTTTATCACTGCTACTTTGAATGATTGTGGAACATAGCCTGATAATAAAGACATATTCATAATATTTAATAAATAAGTGCTAATTAATGGAAAAACTTCCTTCAACAGCTTAGTTGGAATTGGGTCTAACATACACGTTGATGGTTTAGAAGAGAGAATCATTGAATTTAATTGTTCAAGGTTTATGGCTGAAAAGCATTCTAGTTTACTATCTAGTGTAATATTAGAACTTACGTTTCCGGGAGCTGTTGATAACACTATAC